AGTTTGGCGGGGATAAGGGAATTTTTTACATGTTGGTATTGGTTGATGTTTTTCTTCTTTAACAAAGACCAGGCATATCTAAACTTTGAAAAGAAAGGTCCATTTTCTTAAATTTTCACTATATGGTTTTGAAACCTCTTTCCAAAAATCTTTTAAAAATTCTCCTTGGAAGCTTCTGTGTTCACTGAGAGCAGACCTGCCAAAGAACACAACTTAATTAGTCAGAGGCAAAAATTTCATCTTCATCTTTCTGGGAACACCCATGGGCTTCTAAGCAAGCTGCCTGTGGCCTTGAATATGAGTTTCGGGACATCCACTTTTGATTTTGGGGGTCTGGTTGTCCTACCTGAATTTCATGTTCTTCCAAAAATATTTGGCCTTTTTCAGGTAAATCTTCCATGTTTCCTTGTGACCTTGCTGCCTCAGTTGGTCCATAAGCCCATTGAGTGGCCCTCTTATCCTGGCAGCCACCCCCACAACAAGAGGAAGCAGAAGTAGCTGGCAGAGACACACAGAGTCCCAGCTGCTGGAACTGAACTTCAACTGCCCAGGGCAGGCCCAGGACTTTCTTTTCTACAACAGGGGCAGCAAATTTGTTTGCCCATGCTCTCTTGGCTACAGGTCCTGGGACTCTTCTCTCTGTGTGAATGGTCTTCCCTTCCCACTTTATACCCCCAAGAGGCCCAGCTCAAATGGGACTCCCCAGGGACAGCCACTCCACCTGGTTAGTCCCCTGCTACACCAACACATGGCACCACCTTCTTGCTCTCCTCATCACCAGTCATACCTAAAATCAGACTCTGAGTACATCTCCCCTGCCCCTGACTTTGTGATTTCCTATGGGGCAGAGTGATTGCAAGAGGCAGATGCTCAATACTCCTTGTCTGTGGGTCTGTCTTGCACACTCTCTTACAGACATGCTTCACTCCAGGAACACAACACACAGCTGGCATCTGGCTCGGGGAGGTTTCTTTTATTTTTTTTTTTCAAAATTTCTGTTTTTAGGGCCGGCCCGGTGGCGCACTGGAGAGTGCGCCGCTTGGGAGCGTGGCGGCGCTC